AAACCAAGTTGCGGTTGTGAGATTCAAACCTGCAAAGTATGATGTAAAGTTGCCTGAATGTCTGGAAAAGTAAGATTGACAGCTGTATCTTGTCTTAGTCCCCTCCTAACTTTGTGTAAAGTACCTCCCCTAAATAAAAGGAAGGCGCAGAACGAATTCAGGTGCATTATGACTGGCAAGGCGTGTGTTACAGCATGCAAGGGGCACAGTCCAGCCTTGCAACCATACTGCCTGTTTAGCTAAGATGTTTACTATACAGGATATTACGGCCTTCGTGGCTGAGATGTTTGCAATGCAGGATCTGCCTGATGCCAGTCCAGCATTCACTCTGGTTTCGGAGTGTCTCTTTGTCTCTCTCTTTATGTCTCTGTGTCTCTTTTGCTATCTCTATCGCCACTGGATCTCCCCTCCTTGTGAACAACACAACTATATCGAGGCAAGTCCCCGGCAGAGACACACAGCCGATACAGACAGACAGACATGGAGACACACAGCCGATACAGGCAGACAGACAGACATGGAGACACACAGCTGACACAGACAGACAGACATGGAGACACACAGCCGATACAGACAGAGAGACAGACATGGAGACACACAGTTGATACAGGCAGACAGACAGACATGGAGACACACATAGCTGACAAGACACACAGCCGATATACACAGACAGACATGGAGATACACAGCCGATATAGACAGACAAGGAGACACACACAGCCATTAAGACACACAGCAGATACAGACAGACAGACAAGGAGACACACACACAGCCAATAAGACACACAGCAGATACAGACAGACATACATGGAGACACACACAGCCAATACAGACAGACAGACAGACATGAGACACGCACAGCTGATAAGACACACAGCAGATATACACAGACATGGAGACACACACAGAGATACACACAGCAGATACAGATACACATACACACTCAGACACATAGCAGTGGCAGACAGACACACAAGGAGACATGGAGACACACACATCTGATACAGAGACACATATACTCAGATTCATACTTCAGATACAGACAGACAGACATGGAGACACACAGAGCATATACATAGACAAACAGAAGATACATTCAGAGACACACAACAAATACAGACACACCAAGGTTTAGATACTCAGACACAGACAACAGATACAAAGAGACACAAGGAGACACATAGCAGATCCAGACAGACAGACATGAAGATAGACATGGAGACACACATCCTCAGACACACAGCAGACCCAGACAGACACACAGTCAGACACAGACGGCAGACACAGACACACACTCACAGACAGATCCACAGCCTGGCCCCACCTCACCTCTCTGTGTCGCAGAAGTTTCTGGATCGCCTGTTTCACCTCTGCCCTCCACACAACCATGGAATTTCTTAAACTTTTCTGGATTCTGGTTCCATCTCACCCACCCCGCCCCTCCAGGCATGGTCTTGGAGGACTAAGAAAGGAATGACATTTAGGTTCAATTCCAGTTTATTAAAGTGATTTCACAAATGTTTAATTGCATGCATATGTGGGACTATGATGGCGAGAACCATGTGGTTATAGTGATGTCTGACATTCTCATGGTTGGTGGTTCAAACCCACCAGCTGCAAAGTGAGAGAGGATGCGGTGTGCTCCTGTGAGGACTTACAGTCTGGGCACCCCATGGAGCAGATCTATTCGCTGCTACAGAGTTGCTAAGAGAAAAGAATCAACCAATCAACGACAAGCAGGGTTTGATTTTCAGCCTTGTGACTGGCTCCAGGACAGGGGGAGGAGTTTATGTGAACATGAGAGGATGAGGTGTCCTTCCCCACCTGCGCTTCTCCCTGCTAGACCTGGGGGGTACAGACAACCTGGTGGTTACATTAGGTGGCCTCTGGGCTCTGGCATTGGGTGCTCTGCTGTCCAGGCCTTCTGGGCAGGGCTGGGATGGAGAGGCCCACTCCTGGATGAACTAACAGCTTGCGGGGGGGCTGCGTGTGGCTGGTGCCTGGGTCACAGGCCCAACTGCCAAACAGGCGTCTGGGCTGAAGGAGAGTTCAGGATATAAGATGCAGATCACTGAGTTGAGCAAACTTTCCAAGTAGGGGATCAGAGGTACAGAGATAAAAATCCCCCTAGTGTGTCCCGGGGGAGCAGTGGGTCCCAGGTTGCCATCTTGGCTGTGGGTGCCCCCTCTGTGCTAGGAGCTGGCCGGTCACTCCTGTAGCTTGGCCTGTCTGCGGCTGGCTCCTCACCCTCACTCCTGTGGTGGGGCTGGAGGGAGCGTCCATTCTGCTGACCCCGAGGTCCTCATCAGTAGAGATTCGGGTCTCTGCGCACCCAGGCCAGTCTTAACTCCTCTTGATCTCTTTGACCAAAGGTATTCCTCCATCCCAGCTGCGGTCACTCTTGGGGTCTGTATTAGTGCACAGGTCCCTGGTCCGTGTTGAAATCTGGCACATAGTAGGTTCTCCGTAACTGTCTGCTATTTTTCTGCTGGGGGTGGTGGTGGGGCTGGAATTACTCATTTCCCAAGATGCTTCAGTTTCCTCCGACGGGGGGCCCTGGTGAGTGCTGCCCAGAGATACCGCCCCTCCTGCAGGTGGGATGGCACGTGCACTTGTGAGCCGTGGGGCCTTACTGTCCTCTGGGACTTCCTGCTGGAGGTTTCAGCTATACTTCATCTGCATCAACAGGTGCCTGGAGGGGAAATGGCCAGACTGTGGCCTTTGGCCTGCCACCCCGAGGTGGAGGAAATGTGCCCCCCCCCCCCGCACTGGCCAGTGAGGCCTGTCTTGGGGTGATGGGCCTAGAGGTGGAGGGGAGCTGGATGTTGACTCTGTCACTTTAGAATCCAGATGGAGGACTCCTAGAAGGAGGGCCGAGGCCAGCCCACCCAGGTGCAAGCTTTGACCGAATGAGGCGGTTTCCCACATCGTACCTCACACTGTTACCGAGGCCTCGGCTCCCACTAGCCCTCATGGCATTTCTGCGAGGGAGGACAAGGAACGGGTCGGTGGTGCCTTCAGTCTGGGTCCTGTCTGCCCCTCCTGGTGAGCACAGGGCTGCCTTGGTTTCCCTCTGCAGTGTTCTTCAGCTGCTACAGTGAAACCTCAGGGACCTCTTTCACTCCTGCCAGCAGAGCAAGCTTCTGTTTCCAAAGTGTCTTCCTTTGCTCCTCTCCTTGACAAGTGTGGTGTGGCTGCTGGCGAGGCAGCGGTCCAGGCACGGGGGACGCTCTGCTCCCCTTGTCTCTCTTCTCCCTCTGACGGCTCCTTCCCAGGTTCCTTACTTCTCTGGCTGGGTGCTTCATCTCCATGTCTCACATCCACAGGGTGTGGAGGGAAATCAGCTGGGACATCCCATTCCTCCCTGCCTCCTTCTTGAGCCATCACTGGCCTCAGCATGGTACTCAACAGGAGAAATGAGCTTGTGTTCGGTCACCAGGGCAGCTTTGGGTTGGTGAGTGGGTCTTGGAGCTGATGCGGTAACTGTGATGGAGACCCCTCTGGACCTCAGGTGTGTGGGAGGCGGTCCTGCTGGGTCAGATGGTGATGGCTGGCACCTTGCACTCCTGATGGGCACCCCAGGGCATCGCCTGCACGGGATGGGAACTACAAAGGGCTTCACAGTGGGAGGCTGAGAGGCCATGTGCCTGTCCAGTCCCTGAGCACATTCTGTGCAACTCAGGGAGGTAGGCTCCTGCTGACAGGCCCTTGGATTAGGGTGAGGGGGTGGCAACCACCAGAAATCCACCCAAGGCAGGAGATCCAGGGTGCTCTTTGCTCCTCCCTGGCTTCTTGTATGGCCCAGAAAGACCCCGATGCCCTGGCACGCAGGAGGTGGGCACTAACTCCGTCCAGGCATAGGGTCCCGGTTAAGTGCACACCCCGCTCTTCCGAAGGAGAAAAAGCGCTGTGAGGGAGGGAGGCAGGCGGCATGGTGAAACAGAAGGCCTCCCAGCAGCTGGTGTGGCTCTGCCTTGGTGACGTGCTGTGTGTCCCAACGCCAGCGCCCACCTTCTCTACGTTTCCGTGTTTCTCCTCTGTAAGAGGCACAGGAATGGGCTGGCTGCTTGCCCAGGCTCCTCACAGTCTGTCTGGGTTCACACAGGAAAAGCCTGACTTCTCATGATGTGCTTGCTCACACAGCAGCCTGTTCCCGACACCCAAGGGATTGTGGCCCAGCCCAAGTCTCACCTGTAGGCCAGACTCAGAGCCCCATACCCCAAAGGCCCACGGGCTCCGTCTCCTGCAATCATGGGGGGGTGGGGATGGGGAGGCATGTGGCGGCGCAGCTCAATCATACAGAACAGCCTGAACAGGTGAGCTCGTGGGAGAAGAGATGGGTCCCGATGAATATTTACAGTCACTAAAGATCATTTCCCTAAAGTATGCACAAATAGAAGTATATATAGATTTATATTTATACATATATATATATATATATATAAAATGTACTTAATTAGATGCTCTATTAAGGGAAAGCCCAAATCGACAGCTTCCTCCCTGGTGGCCTTTCTGTCCCTCACAGAACCTTTCCGAGGGGAACAGTGTGGTCAGGGGGTCCATGGGAGTGGAGACCCCTGCCCTGTTGTGTTGTGGATGCCAGTTCAGCCTCCTCTGCTCACAGCTCTTTCTTTTGTGGCACTGGCCAAGCTCAAGTGCAACCTGGTCCCAGGCCTGCCCGCAAGGACACCCTCTAGTGCTGACTCGGGAGAGCGCAGTCCTGGTGCCCCGCGAAATGACCAAGTGAAGGGGGCAGAGAAGATGAGGTTCTTAAGGAAAAAGACCCCCCACGCCTCCCACCCCGGGGGTGGCTCGGAGGAGTGCAGCCCATGGGGGTCTTGCCTGGGCTGCTTTCAGCCTTCCGGTTCCCAGAGGGCAGAGACATCTCAGTATTTCTCAAGGCGGCCAATGGAGCTGCCTTCAGCTTGTACGTGGGGGCAGCAGGCCTTACCCCTGGGCACCCCACCCCCCCGTCACCCCACGCAGGGCAGCAGGTGAGTTATTTGTAGGGCCGCAGGAACCGGGACACTTTGGAGCGCAGCAGTTTGATGAAGGAGCGGGGGAACATCTCCTTGGACTCCTGGGCTGTGTACTTGAAGTAGTTCTGGGGATGCGCTAGCACATCGAAGAGAGCCTTGATCAGCTTCTTGTCCTGCAAGGCACAGTCAGCCACTGCCTTTAGTGACCAGGGCCTCAGAGGGGTCTGTGTCCCTTCTCCCGTCACCTTGTTTCTGCGGTTACATGGGGCCCCTCCCAGTGAAGACTCACTTTCAAAATCTCCTGGTGATTCTCGGAGGCGTATAACCGGCCATCGCGAACAATATCCTCTATCAGTTGCTGGTAATCCTCTGGTTAGAAAGGAAGGTGAGGGCTAGAGACCCTCGCCCTGAGCCTCTGCCCCTCCCTGCTCCAGCCTCAGGGTCAGGCCTGGTCAGTGTAGTTCTGCCTCCTTCTCTTTGCTACTCAGACAACACCCCTGTAACCCTCAAACCCCTGTGTGCGTGGTACCTGGTGCCCAAACCTGCAGATAGCACCGAGTGCTCTCCCATCTGTCCACTCAGGACCCCTCACCCGACAAGCCTCGGGTCTGTCTCCCCCACAGGTGGACTCCTGCTCTGGTCCCACCTTACCGTCGTAGGTGACGTAAGGCACCTGGAACCCTTTGCCGCTGTTGCCTTCATTGGATTTGAACTGGATCCAGAGCTTGCGGGAGCGGGAGGTGAAGGCGATGGGCCTCTCGTAGGTCTGACAGGTCTCGTAGGTGGTGATGGAAGTAGGAGAGGCTGTGGAATGCCACGCCATGCTGAGCAGCCCCCTCACCTCTGGACCAGCCCGCCTGCTGCTGGCCACCCGGCCACCAAGAGAGGTGATGTTTCCCGAGTGCTCCAAGCTCTGTCCTGTCTTCCCCATCTTCCCTACGGGTCTCTTGGAAAGCTGTTTCTGTGCCTCCACCTCCAGGGAGCCTTCCTGGCTGCTTACTGTCCCCCCACCCCCATGACGTCCCTGTCACAGTGTCCTTGACTGGTTATCACCGTCTCTCTCCAGCTTCTAGAACAGAGCCAGGGCCAGTGCTGAGGTTCAGAGAGGACTGGGGAATGAACTAACCAGGCTGTGCTGAGATGAGGGGTCACGTCTGGGCTGGCCAAAGGTGCCCTGACTTCTTGCCCCTGGACCTAGAGCCCGTAGGTCCCTCTGCCCACATGTCTACTTGCAGTTTGGTTACTTAGAAAACTCCTATGGAACCTTTAAAAACCTGTGAGGTGCAACCTGGGCAGTCCCCTACAGCAAGTGGGGACTGAAGGTCCTGGGTTGCTCTGGGGGGCTGTGTGACGCTAGGCAGGAATATGCCCTCTCTGGTCTCAGTCCTCCCGTCTGCACTTTGGGCTTCCCGGCTCATTGGCTACCTAACACGGGGAGAAGGAGGTGGTCCCTGCTGGGTACCAGGCTCTGAGACCTTCTCTCCTTGGCATTGACCTTGGCTCCCTATTGCCCAGTCCTGCAGTAGCAGGAGGCCCAGGGGCACCATCAAGGCCCCTCCAGGGTTCTGGGGACTCAGGGGTTTCCTGGGAGGAGGGGAGTGGCAGGCAGGGGTCCCTGGGACAATCTGACTTTGGGCTATCTGGAGGGTGTGTGTGGGGCACCCCTGGGGGACAGGAAGTGGTGATGAGAGCCCCTGTCTCTGAGGTGGTTGTGGGAGGAAGTGTGGCAGCCCCCTGCCCAGGTACGTACCGCTCTTCCTCATGACCAGCACGTCACCACATTCGTCCTCGATGGGCAGGAAGATCTCGGGGACCACGATGAGGATCCTGCGCTTCGGGGGCGGCGCAATGTGCCACACACACTCGGCGTTGGCCGGGTAGTCACCGGGGTAGTTGGGGGACTCGATGTAGCCTGTGTAGTCACCAAGCTCGCCCCCGCAGTGCTGGTCTGTGGGCACAGGGCCCGTGAGGGTCAGGGTGGGTGGGCAGCCCACTCCCTTGCCCTCAGTGAGGCGCAAGCCCACCATGGGTGCTGCTGGCTTTCTGAATCCACCTTCTCACTGACTGAGGCCCTGCCTGGGACCCCTACATTCCAGCAGTCCCTTTCAACCACTCTGGTCACCTGGCCCCCAACTCAGGTCTTAGGTGTGAGAACCCGTGGGAAGTTCACTCATCCTATCTTCCGTTTCTTCCTCTCTACACTCAGTTACTCAGTATTTACTGGACCGGCCGGGTGCCAGGCAGGCCCCCTTCCCTGAGGGACACTCAGGGCAGGAGCAAGCAGCGAGCAACAAGTCAGGAGACACCTTCTTCTCACGGCTGTGACGGTTTCATGAGCTAGTGAGAGGGTCCTCAGCTTAAATTCAAGCAGGACCTCTCTTGCCCCCAGACCTCCTCTCATCCCTAGACCTCCTCTCTCGTCCCCAGGCCTCCTCCCTCATCCCCAGACCACCCTCATCCCCAGGCCTCCTCCCTCATCCCCAGACCTCCTCCCTCATCCCCCAGACCTTCTCCCTCATCCCCAGACCTCCTCCCTCATCCCAGACCTTCTCCCTCATCCCCAGACCACCTCCCTCATCCCCAGACCTCCTCCCTCATCCCCAGACCTCCTCCCTCATCCCCACACCTCCTCTGAGCTGAGCTGCTTAGTGCAGTGAGGTGAGCCCTCACACCGGCACACAAGCATCTAGATGTGTGTGCCCCAGCTTGTCTGCACCCCAAGAGTGCAGAGCAGGTGGGGCCTGGCCAGGGGGCTCAGGGTGTCTGGTCAGAACAGGGCTGAATGGATGATGGATTTAAGGACAGATGCATGGAGGGAGGGAGGGGCCCACCACTCACAGGGGAGCTGTACCTGCGTAGGCCAGGCTCAGGTGGCACTGCTGAGTGGATGTGACAAGGGAGGCGGTCCCCCCACCCCCGCCCACCGCCACGGGGATGAGCAGCACCCACTTTTGCAGTGTGTGACGTTGGTGGAGCCGTCAAAGTCAGTGCTGGTGTCGTCAGGACAGGAGATGCAATGGTTCTGACCAAAATCGGGCTGGTAGGTGCCGATGGGGCAGCGGAGGCAGCGGTGGGTGGTGGTGTTGTAGTGATGGCCCGGCGAGCAGTGCACTGCAGGGGAGGGGCACGGTGGGGGTGGTGGGGGGCACCGCCCAGGGCTGCCCCTACCCCCTGGTCTGATTGGTTTGGAGTTTCAGGCCCTGCACCGCTGGCCTGTCACCTCCGGTCCCCAACCTCTTGGCCCCTTTGCCCTGAAGGCACTGAGTGTCCGGCATGGGGACCCAGTAGTGAGACAGACAGATCCTAGACAGATCTACACAGCCCCACACCTGTGGAGTGGTGGTCTCAGGGGGGCTTTTGAGATGAGCCTGATGAGGAAGAAGTGGACTGGTGGCTTTGGAGAGCAGGGAGGAGGCCTGTGGCTGGAAGGCCTCTGAGTGACCTCTAGGGGTGGCAGGCCCGGCACATGTCCAGTGAACACAGCCTGGGTCAGGGGTCACAGCACTGGGGGTGTTCAAGACGTTCCTGAAATCTGGGCCTGTTTAGAAGGGGGGCTGACAGGAGGGGAGGGGAGAGACTGTCTAGGGGACCTGAACAACGGGCAGGACTGGGGCAAGGGTAGGGGGGCGGGGGTCCAGAGCTTGGGGACAGTCTGCCTGAGCTAGGACCTGGAGTCCCCAAGGATGAACTGCTGTTGAAGGAGATCAGTTGAGACCCCAGAGGGTGAGCGTGGCCAAGTGCCATCCACACTCACACCCACTCACACACACGTGCACTGACATGCTCATACAATCTTACCCTCACAGCTGTCACACTATGTGTGATGTGAGTGCATGAATGTGTGTGCGGATAGGTGTGTAGTGAGTGTGTGTATATGTGTGAACAGGCGTGTGGAGTGAGTGTGTGTATGAACGGGTGTGTAGTCAGTTTATTAACAGAGGTGTAGTGAGTGTGTGTGAACGGGCATGTAGTGTGCGTATGTGTGTGAACGGGCGTGTGGAGCGAGTGTGAGCATATGAATGAATGCACCCCCCGCCAGAATGCAGCCCCCTCACCTCTGGTCTCACAGTCCTGGAAGGCAGTGGCACCCTCGAGCTTGGTGAGCAGCCCCCCTCCGCAGGGGAAGCAGTGGGTTCGCCCTGGCTCGGGCTGGTAGGTGCCCACAGGGCAGGCCTGGCAGGGCTTGAAGCCATCAGCGGAGAAGGAGCCGGCAGAGCACTGGCCTGGAAGTCAGAGGTCAGGGCTCAGGCCAGCAGGAGGACGTGCAGTGACCCGCTCTCAGGCCTGGCAGGCCCTGCAGATGGCACAAAGGCAGCCAGGCCTGATGGTGGAAGCCCCGGCCCAACCTGAACTTGAAGCAAATGTAAAGTTCAAGGGCCAGCCAACAAAGTGACCTCCCTGCTGTGCTGGGCCACACAGACCCCCTTTAGGGGTGTTGTACTTTAGGGGTGTTCTCCCTGTGGTAGGGGAGGGGACAGGCCATACCAGAGTCTTCACAGGGGCAGCCCTGGAAGGTCAGGGCTGACCACTCACTGCCTGTCCACCTGCAGGACTGTGAGGTCCCCATGCACTCTCCATATGGAATGTTCTAGAAAGCTTGGGTGCAGAGGACTCTGTGTGGCCTCTGGATCCACACCCTGGAATTCTGGGTTCTGACCATGCTGATGCCTGCCTGTGGTCATCCTGTGCTGTCCATGGTCACCACTCCCTCCTGGGGTGGAGACCACCCTCCAGGAGCGGCTGTGGGTTAGGGTTCGCCTGCCAGCCTGCAACCTCTCAGGGCTGGGTTGTGATCTGATCTCCCTAAGGACCCCACCCCACCCTCACAGGTGCCCCACCACCGGCTTCACGGAGGGGAAGCTAGAGAGTAAAAGCTCTTTGCAAACCAAAGCTTGCTTGGTCATTAAAGAAGAGCTTTCCTGCCCTCTACAGGCCAGACTGTGAACTACAGCAATGTTCTTGCCAAAGTGTTGACATTCCCCATGAAGCGACATGCTCCGTAACATGGGACGTGCTCCGTAACGTGTACAATGTGTGGCCAACTACAAGGTGCATGCGTACTTACATTATAAACCACCAGGTAATGGACAAGAGAGGTCTTATTAGCTGTCAAATGGATTTCACCTGCCTGGTGCCCATTTGATGAATCCTTGGAACGAATGTGGTGCTTGTTAACTAACTGTGTGTGGGGGCGTGACTCTCAGGTACTAACTTCAGTGCCTTCTGAGCCACGTGGTGGACCGGCATCAGTGGGCAGTAGTGGCACTGAGCTTGTGAAACGCTCAGGGAACAGCCAAGAGCGCCACTGAACATTGTGTTCTCCATTCACACCAGGTACCCAAGCCTTTGCTTTGCTTTGGGGCCCCACCGCCCCACTCGCCTCTGATTCCAGGAGGCCCGTACTTGCCTCCACACTCGGACACGTTGCGGGCACCTGGCAGGCCGAGCCCATCACTGCTGGGGCATGGTGTACAGCTGAGCTGGCCATCCACATCCTGGTAGGTCCCCGGCTCACAGGGAAGGCATTGACCATGTTCACCGCTGAAGTAGGTGCCAGGCCCACAGCTCACTGCGGGGCAGAGGGGATAGGAGATGGGGGGGAGTGGGGGCTGGGTGCTCTGTCTGCTGGGCTCTGGTTCCAGGTGCTCAGAGGACACAGATGGGTTCCATGTCTCAGAAGAGCTGGGATTGGGAAACCAGGCAACCTCTGAGTACTTGGAGGTCTGACCCTCACTCTTTCCTCTTCTCAGGGTCTCTGAGGTCCTCAGGGCCCTGCCTACACCCTCTTTCTGATGATGCCAGACATGGATAGCTTCTGATCCTGCCTCCGGTCCTGACCTCCTGGCCTGCTTACCAACCTGGATGCCCACAGCCTTTTCCTCCACTTCCCTTCCCTGCCTTCTTCTCCCCTTCTCCCTGATGGAGGGGCTGGGGAGGTGCCGAGAGCTATGGGTATGAGACCCAAAGGGGATGGTGTGGGGTGGGGGCTGAAGAGACAGAGACTGTGTACTCGGGAGCAAATAATGAAGTGGATGAGTAAAGGTATTGAATAAAGAAGTAAAGTGAAGTAAGTTATGGAGGAAAGGGAGCAAAGTTTCTCAGTGCTGGTGTAGAGACCTACAGACATGGGCTAGGAAATGGGAAGAGCCAAGGGAACCGCACTGGAATTGGGATGTTGGGGTGGGCACATACACAGAGCTATAGACATCATTCAGATGTGTGTGTGTGTGTGTGTGTGTGTGTGTGTGCATGCCTGGGTGTACAGAGACACTGCTGTCAGGGGCTATGGAGTTAGATCAAAGTCAAAGATATCTTGTGCTTCCTTCTCACAGTTGCATACCTCCTAGTTCTGTCTACAGAGAACCCTAGAAGCAGTTACATCGCAGGAGTAATGAGTACCTTGAGCACACAGATGTTGGTGTCTACACATCACCCTCTTCTAAAAGGAACCAGAGTCCAGGGCCTGAGGCAGAGTACAAACTTAGCCTGTAACATCTAACGGTGCCGGAAAACAAGAAGACGCTCAATGCTGCTCCCCAGCATGATGGAGAGCCCACTGGCTGCACTGGGGACAAAGTGGGCACCAAAGCAAATGCTGATAGAGATGGATTACAACCCAGTGAGTGAGAGAGGAATCAGCTGATACACCTTCCTCTTGGAAGCCTCCTCCAACCTCAGCCTGGGCAGGAGCCCGCCTGCTCACTCACATCGACACACACACCAGGGGTGTGCTCTTTGATGACAGCTGTCGCTAGGAGCGACGTGTGTCTGTGTGTCTATCTTCCCTGGGAACCCACTGTGGCTCATTCCAGGGCACATAGGGAAGGAGGACAGAGAATGTTTGACAAGTCCACCTGGGAGTGGCCATGGTCAGGGACTCACCACACTTGCCATCCTGAGGCACCTGGCCGGTGCTGCACATCCCCTGCCCCTCCATGGCCTTGGCTGACCGTTGGGCCACCTCATACTCAGTGCCCGCGATCTGGACGTAGAACTGCTGTCGGTTGATGGATTTCCGCAGGGTCTTGATGGCAGCCTGCAAGCTCTGCCCTGCTCGTCTCCGCACGCAGTCTGCCTTGCAGGTGTCTGAGGAGGTGGGCGAGGACGGGGGACAGTAATCACAGGCATGATAGCCCCCTCCCTACCAGGAACTCCCCCAACAGGGCCTCCCCCAGGTTCCCTCACTCAGTCCTCACAGCCCCAGGATGAGGGGCCACGGTTGTGCCCATCTGACTGAGCTATCATCTGAGAGCTGAGGACACATGGAGGTCACTGACCACTGCATTCCATCAGCTCCCCAGAGCACAACCCACAGAGCAGGGACATCTCCCTGTCCCTCAGACACTTGTTGCTGTTTTTAGGTGCCATCGAGTCGGTACTGACTCATAGCGACCCTATGCACAACAGAACAAAACACTGTCTGGTCCTGGGCCAACCTCACAATCATTGCTACGCCTGAGCCCATAGCTGCTGCCACTGTGTCGATCCATCTTGTTGGGGGGTCTTCCTATTTTTCTGACCCTCCATTTTACCAAACATGATGTCCTTCTCTAGTGACTGGTCCCTCCTGACATTATGTCTGAAGTATGAGAGACGAAGTTTGGCCATCTTGGCCTCCAGGGGGCGCTCTGGCTATACTTCTAACACAGATCTGTTCTTTTGGCAGCCCATGGCACTTTCAATATTCTCCTCCAACACCATACCTTCTGATGCTCCTTCTAGGAAAATGACCCTCGCAGTCTGGCCTTGCTTACCTTGCTAGCTTCAAGCCCCAACACTCCGACCTCACTGTCAGTTTCACATTTAGCCCCTCAGTCCCATTCGCTGGTCCCTGACCTCTGTGACTTTGCACCTGCTTTTCCCTCTATCTGAATACTGTTCCCTGCCATCTCTTCCACCTGATGAACTTTGACTTCCAAGTTCTGCTTCACGGGGTGCCTCTTCACTGGGGAGGCTGCAGTGCTGTGCCTGTCTGTCTGGTGTCTCGCTGGGTTGTTTGTGTGTGTGTCTGCCTCCCCCGACCTGGGAGCTCGGTCATGGTAGTACACACTTGTGACAGGTCTCAGCTCACCTGTCACACTGAACCCTTGTGCAGCCCAGTGGGGAGTGATGATGGGAAACTGAGCCAGCATGCCAGGCCCTGGCTGGAGCCTTTTGGGAAGGCTGCGGACATTTGCCCTTGCCAAGGGCGAGGAGGGCTGGGGGCCATCCTGCCTGCCCTGCTGGCCCCTGGTGTGTCTTTTCTATCCTGGGCTCCAGGTGGCCATTTGGGGACCGGGTGTGGGAGCCTCTGCCTCCAGCAGTTGTGGCTAGGCTGGGAGCCTGTACCCACCTGTCACCTCCTCCACCTTCGTCTCCACCTGGAACTCGGCCGTGATGTGGGATACCTCCTTGGACGGGGACTTTCGGCCACGGCGCCTCTTCTTGGAGGAGTCACACTTGAGGGTCAGAAAGGTCACATGGCCACTGTCTGGACAAGGGAAGGGACCGCTGTGGCATGGAGAGGTGGCACGGGGCAGGGAGAGGGCTCCGCCTAGCCCTGGACTCAGAGACATTGGTGAGGGGCCTGCCTTGTCTAACGGCCCATGGTGCAGATGGGGAAACTGAGGCTGGAGGAGTGGGTGGCTGTGCCGGGTCTGTGTCTGCCCTGTGGAGCCCACAAGCACACTGGGTCTGCAGAATATTACTCTAGAGACGTGAGCCCCAAGCCAGGACTGAGAGGCTGTAAGTTTTGTCAGGCTTGAGAAGACTCATAAGGTCTCTGGAATTTATGGCACAGGGCTAGAATGTGTCTCCTGGAATGTCTTTGGAACGTCACCCCTCAGTCACTCAGGAGTTGTAGGGTGAGCCCTTGCTATGGGCGAGCAGGGACACAGACCCCAGGAGACCCGGGGAACCCACTTTCCACCTTCTCTCACATGAGCCAGGCTGGACACCGAGGCCATGGGATGAGGCCCCCTTTCTTGGGAGCCCCCTCCCGGGTGTGGATGATACTCACCCAGCAGTGGCTGCCGTGGGGCCTCCTTGGCCCGCTCACGGCTGCGCGGTCGGAGGTGGCACTTGACGTCTCTGATCTTGAATCGGGCCTTCTGCTTGAGGGGGGGCACGGGGGCATCTGGGAAAAGCCAGAATTCCCCCAGGTGGTGGGGGGGGGAGGGGCTGCTGAGGAAGTGTCTGAGTGTGAGTGTGGGGTGACCAGGGACAGGTGTGTGGGGCAATGGGGCCATGGAGCAGCACGCTGCCCTCTCACCCCTGTTCTCTCTCTGTCCTTGCAAAGGTGAACACAGGGGCAGGGGTTCCCTTTCAAGTTCAGGGCAGCTCAGTCAGGGGGCTACTTCTGCCCGCTCCCCTTGCCGTCAAGAAGGCTGACCATGAGGCTCAGCTATTAGGAAGGAGGGAGGGACACGGAGAGAGGAGACATTCAGGGAAGAACCAGAGAAGCAGGTGTCTCTGAACAGCATGCCACAGGCCCTTGGATGAGAAAGCGATAGGCCACGTGCCTCCTTCTGAGGAGGACACCCCCTCTCCTGAGCGGGCAGCTGAGGACTGAGGCCCTGTCACCTCAGTTCATGGACCCTGATGTCAGCACCTCCACAGCCCTGGGCTGGCTTCCAGGTCCTGGCTCAGGACCTCTCCCTCCAGCCACGTTCTGGATACGAAGTCAGGGGCAACCCAGGGGTGTGTGCATGGGCAGACCAAAGGGCTACCTGAGCAGCTGAGCCCAGAGCTGAGGCTGGTGCTGTTGTCCTTCGGCAACGTCTTGCTCTGGGGACCTGGAACATCGCAGCTCAGGACATAGCTGCTGTCCGAGTCTGTGGAGGGACCAGTGGGTCAGGGGCGCCTGGGGGCACATCTTTCCCAGCCCCCCCCAGGCTCCCCCTCAGGGCTCACAGGGGTCTTTGAATGAGAGGTAGATCAGGACGATCTGCTACACAGCCAAAGGGTGAGGTGTGTTGGGGTCCCTCAGTGAGTCTGGTCAGGGTGGGCCCCTGGTTCTCAGGTTGAGCTCCCTCATGGAGAGCAGGACCCCAGGGAGAGACTCCTGCCCAGTCTGCTGGCTAGAGCGACTTCACTTACCTGTCATGTAGAGTGTGTGGGCTGGGCAGGTGAGGAGGCAGCTCTCCACGCTGCCCACCTTGCTGCAGGACAGCTGGGCCCGGGGCCAGGCCTTAGCCCGCGAGAGGCACTTGCCCGTCTCTGAGGAGAGGGAAGATAAGCACTTAGGTTTGTAGAGTTGGGTTCTGACCCACAGTGACCCTGTAAATGGTTTCTGAGGAGCAGCTGGTGAACTGGAACCGCTGGCCTCCTGGTTCAAGTGGACTTTGCAGTCCAGTGCATTAACCAACAGTGTCATCCTACTTTTATAAGTAGGATAAAATTTCAGAGCCTTATGCCAGCACATCTGCCATTATTTTCACCACCACAGAATGTCAGCTCCTTCCATAAAAAGTTTAAATTGACTCAAAAGAAAGAAGGAAGGCAAGTGGATTAGGAGTAAGCATGAAAGAAAGGGAGAGAAAGAGAGAAATTTTCTCTCTGTCTGACAGTAAGAACGTTTGATTGTGCCAGAACGTGGATGGAGACAGTAAAGGCAAACAAGAGAGCTGTGCTCATGTTCTGGAACTTTTTAACAATCCTGTTTCCAACCTGTAACCCTTCCCTCGGGACAGCAGGAGACACCCCTACTTCTCTGTGACTAAGCCCTCACACTCATAGAGGGGAGAGACCAACTCTGCAAACAGAACTTACAGATTAACGATACTAATGATTGAGCTGGTTCTCACTCAACACGGCCCTATAGGACAGACTAGAACGGCCCCACAGAGTTTCTAAGAATCTTTATGGAAGCAGACTGCTCATCATTCTCCAGAAAATTTTCCTACACAGAATTCAAACAAGAGCTGATGGAAGCCTTCATATATTTATACTGTGCGTGATTCCAAAGCAGATCCGTGCGGTCTGGCGCGAATCTTCTGAGACTGCCATGCTTTTCTTTTTGTATAAACGTGCAAAAGGCTAGACACCAGGTTCTAGGGGAGTCGACGCAAGAGAATGGTAAGCAGCAATGATCCACTGATCTCCTAGACTAAGCCAAGGCTTAGTCTCCCTGTCTTAGAGCAATAATCATCTTGGCTAAATTTGTTGCAGCCTTTTCAGATTGGTAACCGTTGTTGGTGTTGTTAGCGGCCACCAGGCTGGCTCTAATTCATGGCGATTTTATGTAGTACAGAACGAAATGCTGGCCAGTACCGCGCCACTGGAATGCTCGAGCCCACTGTGGAGACGATCTGTCAGTTCCCCATGCTGAAGGCTTCCTGGTTGTTTTCAAAGGACACTGGATGGTCACAGGGGTTTATTAGGAAGAGGTTTTAAGAAAACAGAAAACTGTGTCGGTGAGAAAAAGGCCAAGCGATTTGTGCCAAGGATTTTTCCATCACAACAATGTTCTTGCTCATTCTTTGAGGGTATCAAGGGCTGTCCTCTGAAAATTTTGTTGAGAAACCCCATCAACCCAACAGCCTGATCTTGTCCCTTCAGACTTCTTTTTGTCCCCCAAATGTAAAGGATATTTAAAGGGGACACGATTTAAGTTCCTTGAGGACGCTCAAACAACTGTTTTGAAGTAGTGGCAACCATACCGTTTCTGTTGGCTGTGTGAATGATAGTGTAGTGGTTATGAGTCAGGCTGCTAACCTCAAGGTCAGCGGTTCGAAACTGCCAGCCATTCTGCAGGAGAAAGATGAGGCTTTCTGCTTCCGTAAAGATTTACAGCCTCAGAAATCCTGTACAGGGTTGCTATGAATTGGAACCAACTCCACTGCACATAACCAACCACCACCACCACCAGGCCAACAAAACCGCTTGAAAAAAATTCAAGATGGCTGCACCTTGTCTTACAGGAAGTCTGTACACCAGTCGGTCTGCTTTAGCTTCTCCTCCTGGGAGGTACTCAGTCACCTTCTCTAGACTTTCCTCTTGAAGCTTAGGGTTCCAGGATTAACATCTGTGTGTTCCATTTGGTCTCCTGTATCTTTGTTGTAGAGGGACTATGTAGTATGTCTGCCTAGTTGGTCATCTTGCTGGAAGTCCCAGTTTCCCTGGTTTTTGCTGACCCTCAACTTTGCCAAACAGGATGTCCTTTTTAGTGACTGTTTTTTCCTGTTGACATGTACAAAGTAAAACTTACTACAAGTTACGTTTCGTCACCCTTGTGTCTAAGGAGCCTTCTGGTTGTATTGCTTGTGAGACAGATTTGGTTATTCTTCTGTCAGATCATAGTTTATTCAATATCCTTTGCCAATACCACAATTCTGATGGTCAGTTCACCTGTCTGTCTTCCTTTTTCACTGTCGAGCTTTCACATGCACGTGAGGCAACTGAAAAGATCAAGGCTTGGGTCAGGTGCACCTTAGTCATCAAAGTGACATCTTTGTTTTTTCAAAACTTTGAAGAGGCCTTTTCCAGCAGATCTGCCCCATGCAAGTTTGATTTTTTGACTGGACACTGGTGGTTGAGAGAAGTAGAGTGGAAGTGTATTAGAATCACCTTTGCATCTGAGTCTGCACCCTATAGTGACCTATCAGTGAACTAACCACAGTGTCTTGTTAGGGTCTCCTCATGTTGCCATCCAGCCTTCACGGTCCTGAAGGAGAAACTTAGCTTGTGTTTTACTTTGTTGTTGTTGTTAAGTGCCTTCGAGTCGGTTCTGACCCATAGCGACCCTGTACAGGGTTTCCGAGGGTGTAAATCTTTACGGGAGTAGAAAGCCTCATCTTTCTCCCACGAAGCGGCTGGTAGTTTCGAACCGCTGACCTTAAGGTTTCTTTACTTAAGAAGGTTCATATCCTGAACAGGTCTGTTGGATGTGCCAATACTAAAATCTTGACTCACTACTCTTTCTTGATGGCCACATCTTAAACATGAAGCTATCCTACCATTCTTATGGAAAGTCAGGAGACCCAGAACAGTTAAACACTACCTGGAAAATGAACATTGTTAGAACACTCATAATTCCCGATTTCAAAATGTATTATAAAGCTACAGCAATTAGAACTGTGTGGTCCGGGCATGACGACAAATATACAGATCAATGACATGGAATCGCATGCCTAGACACAGACCTTCATGTTTACCATGGACTGACTGGTTTCTGATGAGGGTGCCGAGACAATTCAAGAGAGGAAAGAGTAATCTTTTCAACAAATGGCGTTGGTACCCCTGGATATCCACAAGCAAAAGCAAGAAGGCAAGCCCCTACCTCCCACACACATAAACATTAACTCCAAAGGGATTAAAGATCTAAACTAGGAGCTAAATCCAGAAAACTCTGTAGAAGACACTTAAAGCATTAGTCACTTAAGCAAAAAAAAAAGGAGAAGATAAATTGGACTTAAATCAAAATGACAAGTTGTTGGGCTTCCAAGAACATCAAGAACGTGAAAAGACAAATAGGAGAAAACATCCTCAAATCATACATCTTATAAGGGACTTGCGCTTAGATCCACAATGTAGAAAGAATTCTCACAACTCAATTGTTGTTGTTGTTGTTGTCAGGTGCCATCAAGTCAGAACCGACTCATAGCGACCCCATGCACAGCAGAACGAAACAATGTCCGATCCTGGGCCAACCTCACTACTGCTGCCACACTTGAGTCCATCAATGATGCCACCTGGCCAATCCATCTCGTTAGGGGTCTTCCTCTTTTTCTCTGACCCTCCACCTTACCCAGCATGATATCCTTCTCCAGCGACTGTTCTCTCCGGACAATGTGTCCAAAGTAGGAGAGACGAAGCTTAGCCATCCTGGCCTCCATCCTGGGATATTTGCCTTACTCAATAGTAAAGGCAAATATCCCAGTTAAAAAATGGGCAAAGAATATGAATAGACATTTCTTTAAAGGAGATCTACAAATGACCAATAAGCATATGAAAAAGATATTGCGTTCAACTCACAATAAAAAGTAAAAAGAAACAAGCAAGCAAAATGATCTACATCTTGAAAAAAATAACAAAAAGATACTTCATATCATCAGCCACCAGGAAAACACAAAGTAAAACCACAGGGAGATTCCATTTCACAACTACTAGGGTATTAGTAAGGAGCTCTGGTAGCGTAGTGCTTATGAGTCAGGCAGCTAACCTCAAGGTCAGCAGTTCAAAACTACCGTAGGAGAAAGATGAGGCTTTCTGCTCTGGTAAAGATTTACAGCCTCGGAAACCCTATGCAGGGTCGCTACGAGTTGGAACCAACTCCACGGCACACTACTACCTCCAGGGTCATTAGTAGCAGCAACTGGGAGGTTGGTGAAAGAGTGGACAGACCGTGTTTCAGTCTGTTGTCGCTACTGGATGACACCTAACCACAACAAGAAGGTCGTCAGTGTCTAACGCATCAAATCTGTTTTTTAGATGGTTTCTAAATTCAGCTGGGATATATTCAAGGTCTTATTTTGACTCTTGTGGAATTGTTTTAACTTTCTTCAGCTTCAGCCTGAACTTGCGTATGAGCAAATTGATGGTCTGTCCCACAGTCTCTGCCCCTGGTCTTGTTTTGGCTGATGATATGGAGCTTTTCCATTGTCTCTTTCCACAGACATAGTCAATTTGATATCTGTGTATTTCATCTGGTGAGGCCCATGTGTACAGTCATCTTAATGTTGTTTAAAAAGGGTATTTGCAATGAACAAGTCATTGGTCTTGCAAAATTCTATCATGTGATCTCCAACATCGTCTCTATCACCAAGACCATATTTTCCAAAAACTGGTCTTGCCTTTTTGTTTCCAACTTTCGCATTCCAATCACCAGTAATTATCAACGCATTTTGATTGCATGTTTGATCAATTTCAGACTGGAAAAGTTGGGGAATTTTTCAATTTCATCATCACTGGCTTTAGTGGTTGGAGGTAAATTTGAATAATTAAGTATTAATTGGTTAATACTAAATTGTATATGGAGCTCTGGTAGCACAGTGGTTACGAATCGGGCTGCGAGCCACAAGGTCAGCAGTTTGACACTACCAGCTGTTCCGCGGGAGAAAGATGAGGCTTTCTGCTCCCATAAAGATTTACAGCCTCGGAAACCATGTACAGGGTCTCTATAAGTCGGAACCGACTCCATGGCACATAGCAACAACAACAACTAAACTGTATTGCATTGAGTTCAATACAATTCAATTCAATACAATTGAGTTGTAGTGTTAACTGGTCTTGTAGGCGTATGGGTATTATCCTATCACAGACAGGGTTGTATTTCAAGAAAGATCTTGATAGGTTTTTTTGTTGTTGATGATGAATGCGATGCCATTCATTCCTCTTCAATTTGTCATGTTATGATCAGATTAAAAATGGTCAATGCCCATTCATTTCAGCTCACTAATGCTTAGGATACTGATCTTTATGCATTCCACTTCATTTTTGATGGCTTTCAATTTTCCTAGATTCATATTTCGCACATTTCATGTTGCAGTTACTAATGTTTTTTTGTGGTGGTTTCTTCTCATTTTGAGCTGTGCCCCATCATCAAATGAAGGTTCTGAAAGCTTTCCTCCACTCATGCCATTAAGGTCAACCCTACTTTGAGGAGGCAGATCTCCCCCAGTTGTATTTTGAGTGCCTTTCAACCTGAGGGCCTCATCTTATGGCACGGTAGCAGACACTGTTCAATTGCTATTCTGAAGGTTTTTAGAGACTAACCATTGAGAAGTAGTGGACTCTCCTTTCTAGTCTGTCTCAGTCTGGAAGTTCTGCTGAAACCTGTCCACCATGGTGCCCCTGCTTGTATTTAAAATACCGGTGGCATAGCTTCTGGCATTATAGAAGCTATCACAGTAGGACAAACTGAAATGAGTGGTGGTAGAGTAGGCATTCAGCACTCATATGTGGCATCAGTGGGGTAGAAGAGTGAAGAAGTTGTCTGGGCACATCAGCCAAGGAAGCTTGAACCCCACTTTTTCTAGAAGCCTCCCCCACCAATGTGGGATTTGGGCCTGGGCAGCTGGAGGGTCTACAAAGACAGATGGGCGCCCCCTGCCCAGGTGCCTTGAAGTCCAGGTCCTGACATTATTGGGTACCACACAGGATGTGTACCCTCCCACACAGGATGTGTCCCCACCTGGGCCTGTGTCCCCACCTGGGCCACTCCTCTTCTGCAAGTTCCCCAGGCCCCTGGCCACACGCAGCAGCAGAACGCCCTGTCTCGTCACCTGGAGGCCCAGGGAGCGGAGCCCTGCGTTGCTCACCTCAGAAAAGGCTCTGACACAAAGGAGGAAGGGATCCTCTCAGCGGCTCGAGGGGCTGTCCTATGGGGTCTCCCCAGCCTTGGCCCATGGACACTTACCCACACAGTCCTTCTGGTTCCAGTGTAGCCGCTTCCCAGCGGGGCAGACACACTCGTAGCTGCCTTTGGTGTTGACGCAGCCCTGGTCACAGCTTCCGTTGTTCATGCTGCATTCATCCACGTCTGTAAGCACAGGAGGGAGTGAGGGCGACAGGGGTGGACCCCAGGACCGGAGGGCGGGGTCTCAGTCACACTCGGTCACACAGCTACCTGACACAGTCCTCAGAGCAGGTACCAGCCCCACACAGATTTACACAGTCATGCACACAGAGTCACAAAGTCATCCAGTCACTCACATGGTCACATCACATAATCACACACACACACGGTCACCCAGCCACATAGTTGTACACAGAGTCATACAGTCACACATATGCAGTCACATAGTCACATACATGGTCACAGAGTCACATAGTCATCCAGTCAGTCACACATGCAGTCACACACAGTCACACAGTCACAGTTATACACAGAGTCACACAGTCACACAGATAGTCACACAGTTATACACATAGTCTACATAGTCAAACAGATGGTCACATAGTCACACAGTTATACACACAGTCACACACTTGTCATATAGTCACACACATGGTCACACAGTCACACATACTCACATGCAGTCATCCATGGTCACAGTCATGTGCAGTCACAAGGTCACACTCAGCCATGCACAGTCACAGGCACAGAGACACAATCATATCCACACACATGGTTGTGGATATAGGGGACAAACAGAACAAGTAGTCACACACTCACGGGGTCACACTCACAGGGTCACACTCACAGGGTCTCACTCACAGG